ATCAATAATTATGTAATTAAGTGGAAATAAACATATTTGATACACTTACCAGATAAACATATTTCCGCTCGCCTTTACGCCTTCAGAGTCTCTACACAAAGAATTATATTCACGGCACGTGCTGGACCTTTTGAGGACGCCCGCATCTCTGACCCCTCAATATTAATTAATGGGACATACCAGACTGGCAGACTAGTTGCATTGGGCTGCACTGGTTCCAGTTCTCCTGAACATGTGGCGCATCCGAAAACCAACTCCAGTGATGTGAAAATGTTGTTTATTAATTTATTCTCTCAAAGGGCCTCTGTAGGCATTGCAGAAAGGATACTTAAAGCTACACACGTGATAACATCGAAGAACACCGACATTAATGAGCACAAACCAGGCCCAGCTACCGAAAATAAATATTACACTAGTAAGAAATAATTATTGCTGCAACTTGTCGAGTGCAAAAACAAACACACCTCTGAGCATCTAGTTTAATAGTATGGATGCATTATTGTATAGCAGGGCACTTCCTATACGTATGAGACACTAGACCCTTTGCAGAACCCCATCAAGCAACACAACAGTCACCATTGTTTTTCGGCGTAAAGCACACGAATGGGCCCCAGTCGACGTCGAATGCTAATGCAGCATTCCAGTCCAATAGGCGCTGAGCCGAGTTCACAGTGATACGGACATAACATTCTTGTCGAAGAAAAGCCCAAAGTACGAAAGCCTGGGGTAATTAGAATAGTAGCTAGTGTAATTCGTTTCATCACAATTTGGAAAACGGCAAAGGCTACAGTCTCAGTGAGCCAATTTGCACGCTGGAGAGAGGCACATGACGACATGTCATTCAGAGTGCTCGTCTGTACAGATTTGTCACACACTTTCGCTCCGTCTCTCTGATTGGCTCGAGGGGGCTGTGGCGGTTGTCCTTTTCCAAGTTACAATGATACGAAGTATAGGCAGTCCACACTTTTCAAAAAAGTGTATATAAGAGACCGAAAGGAATGGTCAACATTTTTCAACAAGACTGCTCTTGAGGCAAGGGATGAACACAAATGTGAATAATCTTATCCAGGTAATTAGGACAAGTAAATAATTGACCGACTAATGCTATACACTCTTGATGAAAAAACGTATTGCCTCAATAAATTTTACAAAAGAAAAAAAGGTGCAATTGATTTATTCGTACACCAAAACAGTTGAAAAGCTTTGAAGCAGGTGCCTGCAACGATTTATTCATACCCACACTCAATAAAACTTCATCCTCGTAGCTGGAAATAAGTGCGCACTTTGCACTTACAAAAAAAGGAAGAAAAGCGATCGAATGTTGAATCGTCGATTAGCACAAAAGGTTAAAGACCGCAGGAGTTTCCTCGCTAAAAGTTGCTATGGTTATTCGCTGACGCAGGGCTGAAACAACTTACCCTAGGCCCTAACGCGACGTATACATTTCGCTTCGATTCTCAGACATTCCAACGTCCAAACGAAGCTAGAAAAATGCGAATATTTTATGCCTGAAGTTATATCGTAAAATTGTTGATAAGTGCAAAACGTAACGGTCGCAGGAGCTTCGTCGCTAAAAGTTGCTGTGATTATGCAGTTACCTAGGGCTGAAACACATTCCCTTAGGCCCTACATCCGACGCATACATTTCGCGTCGATTTTCAGGCATTCTAACGTTCAAACAAAGCTAAGAGAATGCGAAAAGTTTATGCTAAAAGCAATCAAAGTTCTATCGATCCTCGAACAGATCCCGAATCCGAGCACCGGTACGGCGATACGGCTGATGCTGTCTCACAGTTGATAATACCCAGATGATCCAGAGCGATCTTGCGCAAAAAGGGTATAAAGCCTCATTCCTTCATATTTTTACATTATACCTGCGTCAGCGAGCACGAAAAAGCCCGAAGTCGTCGGAAAGCCGCTGCACATCACGGCTACCGGGCACCAAACAAACTCGCATCCGCCAGCTCTGGGCGCTGCCATCTTGCCTGTGACGTCACGGCTCTTGGGAGGTCACGTGACAAGTAGTCACTTTTGCGTAAAACATGGCGGCAACCGGGGGAGGGGGGGTGCCACTTCCGAACTTCCTGTTTATCACTCTAATCCCCTCTACCTCGTTGCCCCGAACGATGCTTGCACGAACGTTGGCTTGCACTGCGCAAGCGCGCCTGCTCGACAGGGACGTTGAAAGCCCGGAGCACGTTCTTGTAGCTCCTACACCCACACTAGCTCGCACTCACAGCGAAGCAGAAAGTAGGGTGTGTCGAGTAATACCGCAGTTAATCTAGTTACGAGATTACCGCTATGTGCTACGTAGGTCGGACGTGGTCATACGTCACTTTGTGGTCACGGTCCGAACTCGAAGAGCGACAGTTACAGCAAACGGTTGCTTTCGTGTTTCGCGAACGTTCCCATGGGAACCGCGTGGAATTATCACGCGGGCTGTGGCCAATAGGAGTGCGCGGTTCGTAGGGGGGAGGAGTTTTCGAGAAACACAAACGTGACCGTTTGTGACCAGAATACCACCCCTGGTCCTAAAAAAAGCGCTCGAGTGTCATGCACCTCAGAGGATCGAACTTTCTTGTGGCTAGAAACATAAATGCAATGGATATATATATATATATATATCTTTTTTTTTTTGCCATTCCGCTGTTTTTTTTTCTTTTTTTTCTGTACGGTCATCACGAGACGGTCACGTTGTCAGAATGGGAAGGAAAAAGAAGCGCGCTGAAGATTATGCCCGCGAATTCCGCGATTTTGAGGTGTGTCCTGACGGAAGTTGTATCGTATGTTTTTAAGTGATCACAAATATCATAACTACAAAGATCATCTGATCCGGTGTCCGGCGATGTTTGCTTTATATTTACCGAAAAACAAAAACTGTTAACTTTTTTGGAAATAAATATACACCGAAAAAAAAAAACGAAAATTAAATTTTAAAATAAACACCAAAGAAAGTATGCCGAATTTTGAAAAAATAAAAACCGAAAACGCGGAACTCTAGCTATACTACACGTGGCAGTGATGTATTAGTCCGGGCAGCGCGGTACTTTTCGGCCGCGAGGAATTCACTATGTGTGGTAGTGTGGTAGGGTCTGCGGGGTTCACTTTTATTCAAAAACCTATGATGTGCGTTTTCTATGTCGTTTTTCTGTTTCCGGTTAGAGGCAGCGCGAGATCTGGGGTTTCTACTCCCCCTCACAAACACCTCCAGTGCTGGCAAGGCACGAGCGCGAGCGTGTTGCGTTGAAAAGACTCTTCTATGCGCGCATTCTCACACAAACAAAAGCATTTGGAAGATCTAGACTTACGCGCCTGTTCCCTGACCCGTAGATATCCACCTTTTTGCAAATATGTGCTGCCGCCTATCGGGACATCTGGGTTCGAGATTGAATACGTCGCGCCAGAACAGATCCGCCATCTGGTTTTTCACAAGCCTTGCGAACGCAACGCGCCCGCGAGATTTGTCCGACTCAATTGATCGGGGTATTTGGGTACCTTCGTAGCATTTCCTGAATTTCTAGTCACATATTATCAGGATGAACAAATCTGGTTTGCGTTTGAGGCGGACCACTGATTTGTCATACCCCAAATCGTGTGAACCTCTCACAGGACCGTGGTATAGGTGGTATTCACTGGACGCTCCATTTAAGGTGTTTGCCCACAGTGCATGCTCGGGATGAATTCTTATTTATGGTTACCCAAAGATGACGCTCTCGATGGTGTACAATGTGCGTGTTAGAAGCGTGGTGTGAGCCTTCCGTGAGCACGTGCTCAGCGGCAGTGAGCTCCGCTATGGCCACCACCACCCAGCTGCCACCACCTATAGACCGACACGCGGCCGCGGCTCTGTTTACCAACACGGCCGGAAGGTTGCGCATGCGCAGAAGCTATTTGGGCACAAGCAGCCAGGCCCTCCGTGTTTTTGCCATTGCGCGGTGTTGCGTGCGCTCGCTGTTGACGTTGTAGGGAGGCTTCAAGTTTTATTTGTGCGTCGTATTTCCTGCCAACGAATGCCGTATGTTATGTCCGACTATTTGAGCTCGCTACCCGAGCTTGAACGGCAGTGGTATCGAGACAAACTGTGCGTGGACGGTGTTACCTTCGACGATCCGTACGCCGTAAACAAAGCCTGCTGGAGTTCCGACCTGAAGTTGCTGTCGCCTATGTCGATGGCTCAAGTCGTCGTTTATTTAGTTTTTTTTCGCCAAGCCGATTCACGGCCGACACTGCGCAGGCGTTCAAGTCTATCGAGGCATACGATTACTTCTAGCCGGTTTCCGCGCTGCTGGCGGTATTAGCAGATGGTGGGTATGCGGAAGTGTATTTATGAATTGATTAAATATACACAGCGTCCTTCAGTAAGGTATGATATTTTTCTTACCCTCATGACCACAAGGCACGACGAATGGTAACGCTTTGTCCGTTGTGCCGCCGATCTCCTGGCACTCTGTAGCATGGCCGTAGCGAGCCACCGACCAGCGCTTGGCCGGTGCTTTGTAGGAACAATATCTGAATTGTCTCGATCAGACGACGGTTTCCCTGCACATAAGCAAGCCTCGGGACGGAGATTGGAATGGAAGCCACACTTGCCTTCAAGAAAGTGCTTGCCGCACAAGCGGTTGTCCGCGCCAGGCGACCATTCTTTTCGATCCACAGATATTATCCGCCTTCTGCGCCTTTCAGTGTCCGCCGGGAACTTGTAGGAATTCACTCCGCTACTTTTGCTGTGCGTTTCGGTGCAAATAATGGCTACACAACTTTCCGGCATGCTGAAATGCCATGACGCCCATGCAAAACATGCGCCCTTCTGCCCACACCACCCGGCTCCGGCGCGCAATCGCAGCGCCGCCGCAGCTTCGAACCTTCAAGCCTGCACGTCGGTCCAAACAGCTCCTACGTTGCTGCGGCACGAGTCCATGCCGCTCGCCTCACAAGAAAAGCACTGTTACGATAGAGAGTAAGAGGCGACACCGTACTGAAGAAAACTATTTAATGTCACAAGATAGACGACAAAACATTGAACTGAAACAGATAGGCTCACGAAGCGTCGACGCCATGGTTGTAGTTGTTGCTTCAAAGTTCGTTGTTTCCACGCCATCAGAAGTGTCTTTCTCCTCTTCTGTTCGTCAATATACTTGCGGCTCTCATCTAGTGTTAACTTTTAGAGAGGCTGTTCCCTGTTTGGTTTAAAAACAATTGGCCCACGCAAGCCAAAAAAGAAAACTAGTTTTTCTCTGGAAAAATGGCTGGGTAAACGAGACTTGCGCAAAACATACAAGATGACAGGTCTGTTTTGGCAGCACGCAATCTCAAATCCAGGAAGTGCAAGCATTGCGCGCATCCGCGCTACGCATTTTGGAAAAAGAACAATTACTATGGCTTCTTTCACTTTATATATAGAGCCTTAACTTAGTCTGCCTCAACGGCGACTTGTCTCTCAGCTGTAGATGAGCGATTTAGCCAGTGCGGTACAACCACTAGCCTATAGGGTCTTTGACGTGCACCACGCAGTAGTGATACACGACTGCACGCCGGTACTATAGCTTATCCAGATCGAATCGGGGAAGAGTGGGGATTGAACCCAGGATCAATGGACTCTGCAGTTTCGCTTTATGTGGGGTCGAAGTAGAAGCTACGAGCACGAGCATGTTGCCCTGAGCGATGCTTGCACTGCACGAGCGGACGTTCTTGGCAGGCAGCCTCTTGTAGCTTCTGCCAGTTGGCTGCAGTCACAGCGCTCCCTTTTTACAGCGGAGCTGTTAAAGGGTAACTGCAAAGAAAAAAAAGATTTTTTTTCTAAACAGCCTAATTGGGACAAGCATGTCACAAAACAAATGTTCAGCAAAAAAAATGATTTTTTTATCAATATTTACGCCACAGGACGTAATTTAGTAGAGTCAGAACCTCTCCACATTTGAAACTCCCGCTCTTTCGACCCCCGCGGAAGGGGAGTACGCCCCGCCCCTCACTCTCCTTGCGTTGTGGAGTTGAACGACGCAGCGTCTCGACTTCCGGTAAGATCTGGCAACTACGCCAGGCCGCGGTATTGTTTTGGTTTGACGCGGTTCTGCGAGCACATGTAGCGAAGACGTGGCCGGAGAAGTGCCCCTGTGATGTTCCCGGAAGACGGAAAGTATCGTTCGTAATCGTCGTGCGCGCTTTGAAAGCGAAGAGAGTCACAGAATCCGCGAGTGCGCAACCACAAGCCAAGGTTCACGACAGCGCTGCGTTGGTTTCGGCGATCTCGTTCTGTTTGGTGCAACACGGCGATGCGACAGAGCCGCATTGTGTCGGGTTAGCACCGCATTACACACACCACGTTCGTGGTGTGTGTAATGCGGTGCTAACACAGAGCGCAAATTGGTTGTTGTGGGGTTGACGTTCAACCAGTTAAGTCCCGTCGTCGTCAGCTGATCCAGTCAAACTGGTCCGGGAGGACGCTGGGAGCGTTTTTAAAAGTAAATCTACCTCGTTCTGTTTCAAAATGTGGAAGTTTCCCGACGCATACCGTGAGTAAAAAGCTACGGGCGTTTTCAACAAAATTACGTCGTTTTAATTGAACAATGGACTCCGAATTGTTGTCCTAAATCTGCCGTTTTTATGCTTTGTGTTGGACTGCGTTTGCACAGCGACGTGTTGCATCGTGCGGTGTAAATAAATTTGGGCACGATTTCGTACCTGCCTACAGATGCATGAACTGAGACCATTTATACGTAGTGGACATAGTGCTTTTTTATTTTCTGTCTAGTCGCGGACGTTAGGTGCACACGGGGCGAATCTCGACGGCCTCCAGAGCGATATGACGAGAGCGTAACTAGACACGTTGGTCGCTACGCGAACGCCCGATTGCCTCCAGCCAAATAGCATTCCTTTCGGGGCGACATGGCTGCTGGAAGGCTCACTCTCGGGATCACGCATCTGACATCTCCGAAAAGTCAGCATTTGCACGCGCAAACAAGCAAAAAGAAAAAAAAAACAAAAAAAAAACACGCTAAGCAAGCAAAAAGGAAAACGAAAGAACAGCGCAATGAAAGCCAAAACCCCGCGTCGCTTCCTATCACTAACACCTGCGACAGCCGCTAAACACACACTACTTCACTTCAAGAAATCTCACTCAAGCACCTGGGTCAGCACGAAACGACGAAACACTGATCACTTCGGCGAAACGATTAGTCGGGGTAGGCGAGACAGGTGGGAGCAGAGACTTCGGCGGCCATGAAAGAATGGCGAAGCTTTTGTTTGTATGAATCCAAACGGAAGTGCCCGTCTTGTAAACCTTTTGTAAAGAATAATAACTCTCATCACATGGGTTATTCTTTAAACGTAAAAATATGCTGTTCAAAAGGAAATTGCAACATATAACAAAGGTTTAACAAGCAAGATCTAAGCTGTCAATCAAACTGTTAGCCAATGAGAACCTTTTGGGATTGACGTCACATAATCACAACTTCGTGGCGCGCGATTTAAAACGGACGAAATAGCCGCAAACTAAAATGAGTCTCACGCAATAAATATTGCTGTAAAAAATGTTTTTTCTCGCGGAAAAATTGTTTTTTGACATGCTTGTCCCAACTAGGTTATTTAAAAAAAAAACTTTTTTTTCTTTGCAGTTACCCTTTAAAGGGACACTGACACCCCCCAAAAAATATTTTTCATTTTTTGCCAGGCGCTTCATTATGGTGTCGGAGGACTACCCAATTAATATTTTGCAACAGAGTAGCGTATTTTTTTAATAAAGTCAAAAGACGCAACTGCTCGAAACCGAAACCGAAACCCGACGGAGGTCGGAGAAGTGGAGAGAAGAGAGTGGAGTGGCGGAAGTCACGTGGCTACACCCGACCGTGTTTTTTTGTTTTTTTTTGTCTCTCTCCTTTTTGTAGCAGACGACATGCGGCGTACGGGAACTGTTCGCCGTGGGATTCTTTTGCAGTTATGTATGTTCCGCTCGTTGTTCTGTACTCCAAGATGAGTTGTTTTGTACATTGAGGAGTTGGAGATGAGTAGTGAGTGCCCGTGGTGAATTTTGATCGGCTCCGAAAAGAATACACCCAAGATGTTGCGTGAAGCGCTGGCTCACATGTCCTGCGTCCGAAACAGAAGTGGCATTGTGCGACAGAGTTGCCGAAAGATCAACGGGATCGGGACCAATGGCTGGCTGCATTTCCTGTAGACCATTTACGGGCACCTCGGAAAGCGGACGCTACCTGATTTATATGATCCTTGCATTTTGTGGAAAGTGATTACATTGAGTTCGCAGGTGTCAAAAAGGAAATCCCACACCATTTAATTCAGCGACGTGTCGTCCACATTTTTTTCTTATTTTTTTTTTTGTTTCTTCAGTAATAATTGTAAAAAAAAAGAAATGTAAACATCAGAAAATATTATAAAAAAAAGCTTCACGGGGGATCGAACCCGGTCCTACCTCGTGTGAAGCGGACGTCTTTCCCGCTGAGCTACTGGGGCATCTCTTTGCTGGGTGATCTCTTTCCTTAGTAACAAATCAGCTGGTAAACTGTAAGTTGGAAAGTTGGCTGCCGATTTTCCTCCAGCAAAAGCACTCCCGGGTCGAAATCGGGAAGCACCACGCATTGGCGACATTCGCACCTAGTAAAGAAATCTTACGCGTGCATATTCACCTCGAAGTAGACACGTCGTGCTTGACGTTTGCGCGAGCGATGTCTTCAGCCACGAGAAGGGAGCGACGGCTCGGCGACGTCTTCGTGCAAATCGGCATGGTGGTCGGGCGTTTCGTACGGGATGATTACCAATTCTTTTGATCATTCCCAAATTTCTCTTTTAAAGGCAGACAGAATTCGCCGGTACCGCGAACGACAGTTCTGAAATAGAGGTCCAACGCCCGTCGTCCGCTGGCATCGCCGTCCCTGCGAGTCCCACGATACGCGAAACGACGCACGCACAGAATGCTTCCGGTTGTCTGTGGAACTTCTTTTTCAATCAACGTATTTGCAGGTTTTTAGAAGCCACAAAAAATGGGTTTCATATTTTTTTCTATTTTTAATATTGAGTGTGTCCCTTCAGTGACCCACGACTTTGATTAAATTTGGTGGTCGCATCGATACCTTAGAAAACGGCCCGTGACCGCGGAAAAGAGAGTGAGCGAGACTCGAACCGGCCAGTTCTTGATCGGCGGTTTTCGGGCGGAAAGAAACCGAATTTCGAGCCGCAAATTCTGTTCTGGGTAGTTGAGCTCTCATATGTCACGTACAACTAAAAACCTCGGCGAGCATAAATACCCTGTCAGTGTCCCTTTAAGGGCTAGTTTCCCCCGGATCGTGTCCGTGTATGTCGACACAAACCTACCTGGACAGCTACCGCCATCTATAAGCGACAGTGGCAAGCACACCGCCAGTATGGTTTCCGCCGTCGCTCGTAGATGGCGGCAACCTTTTCAGCTATAATATAAGAATGGATAGTTGGGCGCGTTGGTGGGAATTCATCGTAGGAGACAGCGCGAAAAACAGACGACGACTAAGAAGAAGCACACAGTGTATAGAGTACAGCTCCGCTGGTCTTCTTTCTTCACGAAAGTGGAAAGGCTGAACTTTTTTTGTCGTGCTTTCTGGCAATTTTTTTTTTCTAGTGCAGCGCAGAACAAAAGGTTTCAGCCCTTCCACTCTGGTGATGAAGGAAGACCAGCGAAGCTGTACCAAAACCTCCCTAGTAAAGCATTTGGCTGTACTATGGTGGGAATGAAGTAGTGACCGGCCGCAAGCCAGCAAGCCAGGGTGGAAAGGTTAGACAGTCACCGCCATCTATAAGCGATGACGGCAACCAAACAACCGGCAAGCCGATTGTCTGGTTGCCGCCGCCGCTCATAAATAGCGGTAGCTGTCCAGACTTTGGTTTCATCATTTGTTTGGTCACGCTACTGGGGAAACTAGCCCTTAACAGCTCCGCTGTAAAAAAAAAAAAATACTTTCGCGAGGTCAATTCCCAAACAAGGTTTTCATGCTCTGTGCAAGGATGAACTAAGGACTTTCAGACGCACTTTTCTTAGGGTGATGACATCTCGCCATTTTGCTCCCGACCTTTATGTTTCTCTTTTCAGCGATAGCTGTTATGGGCTCTTCCTACAACTAAAAATGACGTCCGTTGTTGAGGTTGTAGCTGTTGATGTTGTAGTTGGCGTAGTAGGGCGTATAGTGCCCGTCGTCGATGTTGTCAAATTCTCAAAAAAGATCGTCCGCTGCCCGCGGGAATCGAAACTGGATCCGCTGCGTGCAAGGCGGAGACGTTACCCCAGAGGCTACGCCACAACGTTAACGACCCGCTTTATTCTTTGTGTTTTTGTAGTACCCGATGCCCAATGCACACGTTCATTGGGAAGTATACGAGGCGAATGAGGAGACGCCATTGAATGAAAGCGGGCTGGGCGTGTTTCAGGGCGTCTTCACAAATTTGAATGAGGCCAACCAGAAGCCGGAAATAATACCTTGGCAGTGATTTTTTATTTATTTATTCAGATACCTACAGCGCCATGGGGCATTACAGTAGGGGGGGAGAAGTTGGAAATGAAGAACACGAATAGTTATACAAAAGTTAAAAGAGCAATATTCACAAGCCAGAAATCTTTCAGTATCACAACAAAGTGCAGGCTACATAAAAAATAAAAAATGCAGTCTACTAAACACTCCGAACGTTACTCAACTACTAACTAGACACTACGAGGTTAGTGTTGAATAAAACATATCGTTAGGAACAATGTTGACCACCGAGGCTGGCAAACCGTTCCAATCCCGTATTGTTTTA